ATAAGGCCTATAAATAGAGCCATGAGAACTCATTAAGTTTTTTACGCACTATTCTACTACTTCAGAGAGATTATAACCAACAAAGTATTAGTGCATTCACAAGTGGATTAGACTAAGAAATCTTGACGAACCACTATAAATTCTTGTCTTCTCTATATAAATTTACAGTATTAATCCTTAATTAACCCGTAAAAGGTTACTGTGAGTGTTCTCAGAGAGTTAATTTTTAGTTGACAGAAAATCACCGTCAACTATATATATATATATATATATGCGCGCTCTTTCCACTCAAATGGGATACTTGGGGATCAAGTAAATCTTTGTTGGGTTGCCTTTTATCTTTTTTTGGCGTGATCTTTTGGAGACATTCTGAAGATAATATCGAGTGATCATGATTATCTTATAACTAATTTGTGGATCCCAAGGTTGCACGACTTGTCCTGACTCGTTGAATAAGTCGAGACTCACTAGTCGCATATGAATCTGTAGCATGTTTATTAGATTCATGAGTTTGCTGACCCGATCAGTAGTTTGCTACCTGTTGGCGACTTGTTTGGTGGTCCGCAACCAACAAGTCATCCACGTTCATGACTCGTTTCAGACACTGATTTTGTGATTAACTTGTATTTTCTTATATGTGTTGGCACGTGTGTGGTGAGAGTTGAGGTACTGACTCAACAGTTTCAATAACAAATAATTGCAAAAATAGAGTGGTCGTTAATTTCTTATGTTTATTTTTCACGTGTATGCTAAGTTTCTTATTATATACAACTTGCAAATTGCATGTTTTTTTTTTCTTTGTAAATAAAATTAAATAAATATGATATATTTATTCAAGTATTTAGCAAATGAATATGAGCTTTTCGAGGCATAACTGAAATTTTGAAGATAGACGTTATAGGATAATGATTAGTAAGTAGGTAATATTAGAGTTGTTACTTTAATGCCTTAAAGGCTTGTTTGGTTTAACAACTCAAATTGTGAAGATTTGAAACTTTTTTATTAGAACTATAAAATCTGAACTGTGGTGATTTTAATTGTGATTGGAACCGGTGTTTAGATATGAAATACATTGTAATTTAAATAGGGAATAAAATTTGAACTGTGTCTGAATAAAGTATTAAAAATGTCATTAGAGTTTTGTAACAAATCTTATAAAACCCACTGAAATAAATCTTTGGATCCGTCACTTGGCTCAGCCGAACTCCAAGTCACCTTCAACACCTATTGCCACGAGTACTTCATACATGTTGAAACACATGATACTAGCATCCAAGATGATCTCCAAATTAGCTTTTAACCCTTCTTAAAAAAGCAATCTAAATCACTTCAAAAAGTTATTGGAGACTCTTGCTGATAATGTGTACTGTTATAGCATAAATATAAAGTAGCACACAACAAAATTATAAGGCACATAAGAAAATTATAAGGCACATATAAGTAAAATACAGTAACATGAGAGAAATAGAGAGAATAGTTGATTGTTATAAAGTGGCAAAAGTCAAAAGCCATGATACAATAATTATAAATTGGCAAAAGTCAAAAGCCATGATACAATAAGAAAATGCAACTTATTGTAGTTCTTAATTAAGAGGTTATGGAGATTATAGAATACCAGATTTTTCATGATCCTATCGCCCCTTGTACCACATGTGAAAATGGGTATTGTGTTGCTCAGGAAATAACGAAACACACATGAAAGAAACAAACATTTGAAATAGGCAAAAAACAAGATCGACGATGAAAACTGATATAAAAATATATTAGAAAGATTGTGAATAAAGTCGAAGTTTGGGAACACTCAAGGTATTAAGTATTACGATTATTAGTATTGTTAGTGTCTAAACTATGAGTACTATGACATTTTTATTCTTTTTACTTTTAGTTTTGGCGAATTACTTCTCAAAATATTATTTTTTATAGTTTATTTTTTTCACACTAAAATTGGCAATAGATCTTTGTAATTTAACAGGGTAATTTTGTGCTCTTTGCATTATAACAATAAACTAATTATTCACACTAAATATAAACTTTCTTTGAACTACTATTGAAAACCCTTGAGACTAAAAAAGTTTGCATTTAATGTAATATTTTCTATAAAGTTTTCTGTTATTATACGATAAGTTTGTTATTAATATTTATGTTAAATTTTAGAACTAATCCTTTATCAATTTTAGTCTGAAATACTAAAACGGCTAAAAAGCAAAGAATAATATATCAGAATAAAAAATTTGAAAATCAAAGTATTACAACGCTCATAATTTAGGGACTAATTACAATACAAATAACTCTAAATTTAGATTAAAAAATCAGAAGTAGAAGTTCTTTTTGTTAATGATGTTAATAATCAATGTTGTATTCTAATTATCAGTAGTTTAATCCCTTCACAAATGTAAATGGCTCAATAATTTCCTATATTATTTACGGAATCTACTCTCAATTCGAGTGCAATTGCAGCAAAAATCAGCATGCACGTACCTATTAATTTATTTCTTTGTCTGCCCCACTTCTTTTTTGTTTTCCGATCTCTACTTTAATTTGGAAAAATAAACGGTACGTGAGGAGTTCGGTAAAAGGCTGCCACTACCATTGCCGTGATTTTTGATAAGAGAGAGAGGAAGCTTGAAAAAAAATTTAGTACTGAAATTAAAGTAGATATCAGAAAACAAAAAAGAAGTGGGGCAGACATAGAAATTAATGAGTCCATTTGTTTCACGGATTTAAATCGATAGGTTTGAACTTTTAAGTTTGAACTTACCTGTTAGTTTTTTGTGATTTAAATTAGTGTTTGGTAGTTTAAAAATCTAAATAAGGAATACAGTTTGAATCAGCATTTGATAACATTATTAGCACTATAGGTTGTTTTTTTTTTCTTTTTTAAATGTAAGTGAAAATAATTAGTGGGAACCTTTGAGTTAGGTTTGTGATCGGTGTTTTATATTAGAACCTTTGAGTTAGGCCCTGTTCATTTCGCCGATTCGAGTTTAGCATTCAAGTTTTACTACAGTAAAAAGTTCTCAGAAACAGTCACATCTAACTTTTTTATTACAGTAAAAAACTCTCACATAACATTACATCTAAACTCGAATTAAAAACTCGAATCAGCAAACTAAACGGGAAGTTACCTTAAGAACTTAAAAGGGAGATAAAGTTCTCTTCAACTTTCAATATTGATTCAAATGAACTCTAAACTCAACTTCAAACTCAAAATATGTAACCAAACAAGAGTTTGAATCCACTTATGCGTTGAAACCCCTCTAGACCCTATAAACAAAAAGAGGGAAAAGTGTAGCAATTATAGTTTGCGTAAAAATGCATACAAATGAGAAAAGTGCATTATTGAATCTTTTAGCCGGCGTGACGATCTCCTTAATTATTGGATAAATGACAAATGGCCACTTTTTCTTTTTCTTTTTATTTGTGGTGGGCTAGCTGTCATTTTGCACTCTTTACTTTGTCCAGGGGAAGTGACGGATTAACATAATGATCCCACTAAGTGTATCGGATGATAACATAATTACCTTTAGATTATAGCGAAATGTAATTTTTATACCATATTAGTTGACACCATGGATAGTACCCGTATTGCTTATCCGTCACGTTGTGTGAAATGATTTGAATTTTTTTTTCCAGAGAGAAAAATGGTTTGGATTTTATGAACTTAGGTGAGAAGGAATATTTGGTTTCAGCTGGTTTCAACCGTGAAAAAATTTTGTAGTGCCACAAATATTTACACTTCGAAACACCAATCTAAATTGGGAGCCCAATTCGAATTTTGGTTTACATTTCTACTCTGTCCACTCATTAAATTGACAAAAAAAAAAAAGTTAAGAAAAAATAATAGTGAAAGTTACTATTTACTTTTAGGTAGTTAAGGCCCCGTTCACTTCACTGATTCGAGTTGAGATGTGACTTTATATGGGAGCTTTTTACTGTAGCAAAAAAGTTATATTTCATGTGCACGCTTAATTTGTTAATATACAAAATTTGCACAATGCACGTATATTTTTTCTTATAAATAAAATTAAACAAATATGAGACATTTATTTAATTACTTTTTTTATTATATAAATATGAGCTATCTAAGGCATTAATTACTAAAGTTTTGAAGATAATCAATGTATTATTATTCTATTCAGGATTGTATATAAGTGTCCCACTCAAATAAATTTCTAGATCCGTCACTCGACTCTCCCCCACTCCAATCCACCTTCACCACCCACTACCACAGGTACTTCTATATGTTCGAACACATGAGCCTAGTATCCGAGATGATCTCCAAACCTTTCACTAACTTCTAAAAACAATTTTAAATCAACAAGAGTAAGGAAACTTATAATAGTGACACAAGAGAAATAGAGAGAGTACTCATCTTATTCATCATCTCATTGTTATTGTTGTTGTATAAATACAAGCTTACAGAAGTCATAAATATAGGCAAAAAATCAGTGGTAAAAGTCAAAAGCCATGTTACAACAATAAAATGCAACTTATTGTAGTGTTAATTAGGAGGTTATGACAGTTATGGAATACCAATTACTGATGGTGAACATCCACACCGGCAAATCATTTTATTTATAACAAAAAAATATAGTAACCGATAACAAACTGAAACCGCAATAACCTGACCAACGAGACAACAAAAAATGACAGCAAGAAGGCAAACAACAACAACAATGAAAAACGATATGATAATTGTAAACTATAACAAAAAGAAAGAAAGACAAAAAAAAAAAAAGACATGAGAAGAAGAAAAACGACGACAACGTTGATGTGACAATAAAAACCTCAACAACGAGAAAGAGGAATACGAAGACAATAACAGAATGATGAGATCAAAGAAAGATAAAGAAAAGAAAAAAGAGCACAACATGGAACAAGGAAAGAAAGACAACGATGGCAACAACTGCCAACATTAAAAAATTGAAACGACAATTACTGAAACGCAAAAAAAAAAAAAACAAAAAAAAAAACAAATTTTGACAGGAACCTAAATCAATTCAAACCAACTCCGACAAGATTTTTTCCAAGATGGCACTGAAACGACTCATTCGATCCCTGCTTAGTGTCAAACCAACTTCGACTCCACCTTTCTCGTCCCTGCTCTCAACAAGAGAAAATGTAGAAGAATCACTGAAATGAACGGCTTCGCTCTTTTTAGGCCTTCCCCACCCGAAATCCACCTCATAAAGACCAAATTTCGGCGAGCCCGTCACAGTGACATGTTGCCGATGTGACTCCTCTATTTTTTTGTACTTCATCACCCAATTCTCCAACTCTTTCAAAGCTTGCTTGTTCATTTCCCTAACTTCCTTCCCAATGGCCTTGGCAGCCGCGACGGTCCCATTTTCTCCCAATAACTCCTTCCTCTTCACCGGCACGAAAGACACCGCTAAGCAGTTTCCAAAGTAGGTCGCCGGTAATGGAAACTCGAGGCGGCTTCGGCATTCCGCCACGATGGCGAAGTAGTAAGGCTCATCATCTTTATTGATCTTTTCCGTGGAGTTTTTCGCTTCCGATTTCGCCAGGCAAGCCCATATCAACGCGCAAGTAGCGACATACGACGACATGTGAAACGACGTTGAGTTTTCGTCTTTGGACAATTGATTTGTGAGCCAATGCTTTAGTTTCTCAATCCGGGCTCTGGGTAGAACAAATGTGGCACGAACGTTATCGATATTACGACAATCGAGGACGGATTTTTCGTCGTCGTCGTCGTTGTCGTTTTTCCATGTCGATGCCAGGCTCCACCATGTGTTCAAGAACGCTAGCTCTTGCCCATGTGGGCCCTTAATTGTGGCCCTATCATGGGACGGCAATCTCAGCTCTTGAGCAAGCAACGTTGAATCTCCACCGGTCTTGCAAATCAACGCCCAGGATTTCAGAAAGTGGTGAAGCGTCTTCCCGTCGGCCACCACATGGTTAAACCGAACGCCTATGCAGATGCCGGAGTCGGGAAACACGGTGAGTTGCAAGGCCATGAGAGGTTCGATACGTTTGTCGCCCTCAACACGTGCAGGAGCCAACTTGGGGACCAACGGGTACAAGGCTTTGACGGGTCGCGGGTGATGGGCTGTGAGAAAGTTGAAGTCGGCGGTGGACTCGACGACGGTGAGTGAAACGGAGTCGCCATCGGTGAAGAGAATGTGGGGCCTCGCTGGCGGCGGAGGGCAAACGAGGTTGGCGGCGAAGGGGAAGAAGTGTTGGAGAGTGAGGGAGAGAGAGCTTTTGAGAGAGGGAAGTAGGGTTTCTAAGAAGTGGTTGATAGGATGAGGAAATTCGTAGAAGTAGGTGCGTTGCATGTGGTGAGAAAGGAGCCATTGCAAGTCCAGAAAAGTGAGGGGAAGAGAGGTTGTGGGGACTGAGCCTGGCGGTGGAAAAACCTTGGTTTGCTCGATTACTTTCACTTCCTCACTCAGCAGAGCCATGGATATCGTGAGAATTAGAGAATTCTGGTTGATCAATGCAAATAAGGAAAACTATATCCTTGCGTGATATTTCGATAAAATTTTGCTTATTATATAAGGATTATTAAGGGTCCAAGAATTATATATGTGGACGAGTTTTTAATAGTTACGTCTCCGTCACTTCTAAATATAAAAATTTTATGATGTGGTGTGATAAAAATTAAATTTTATTATTTATTATTTTTTTTTTTGTCAACTATTCAATTTATTATAAGTTTTTGATTAATATCTTCTAGCTAAAATAATAAATCAATAATATCTATTAATATATATATATATATATATATAATTGTAAAATTTGTGTGCCGCTTTCAATGAATAAAAGACAATTTTCAAAAATGAATAAAAGACCACGCATTGCATGTGGCGTATTATAAAGGTGCCAGCTGGCGCAGATTTCCAAATGTACTAGAAAACTATTGAGGAATATATAATTTACGTGTGTGGAGTATATCATTGATTCTTAGCATCTTGAACATATTATAAAGGAAACGGGCGCAGATTTCCTAAAGGAACGGTCCTTATTTTCCTTTTTTTTTTTTTTTTAATACTTGATATCACTTGTGTTCCAAACTTAGACTTTATTCACGATTAGATAATTAACAATGATTATTAGCATCCTGAACAAAAAGGAACGGTTCTTATTCTTTGATTTTCTTTTTCTTTTTTGTTAATTCTGAATACCGCATGTGTTATCAAACTTGACTTTATTCGCGACCTTTAACCATTTTAATTTTCTCAAGTAAGTCCTTCTAGTATAGTTTTGATGTAAATGTATTTGGTTATGATCATGATCATCTTTCTCTAGGGTATGAAAATATATATGTAGGATACGTTTTCTAATCCTATATAATCTTGACATGATATAAAGGGTTTAGAATTCCATTTTAAAAGATAATTTTGTTAAGTATAGGGATACATTGTTCTTAGAAGTTTATGGTTATTATTATACTTATGCTATGTTTGGTAGGGCAGATGAAAAATATAAGGGAATTATGAGAAGTAAAATATCAAGATGAAGGAAATGAATAAGTAGAATGGAGATTTTCTTTCACGTTGTTTGGTAGAAGAGAAAGAAAAGAAAAAAATAAAATGTCTAATCTAGTGTACTTTATAATTATAGCCTTATACAAATGAAAAAACTAGAATAGTGATTAAGATCAAAATAATTATTTTACATATCACGATTTTTCAAAATTTTCTCTTCTTTTTCTTTCCAACGCTGTTTGATTAAAAAAATTACAACTTCCTTCGTTTCTATTTTTCTCTCTATAAAACTATCCAAGATTCTCTTTTCCTTTAAAAAAATATCTTCGGTCTCTAACTAATATTCTTCCTCTCAATTTTCACACCACCAAATATAGGTAAACAAACGTGGGACTTAGAGTTTATTATATTTACCCTTTATACAACCCTACAAGATAGTGCTTTATTTAGAATCGCCAATCTTATATTTGGTCTATTAGACCACTCATTCGAAATTTTTAAGTTTTGATATCATAATAGAAATTGGACTTTTTAAGAGCTTGAATTTCAATCTTATAAGTTCAACTTTAACATAATAGTTCTTGTAAGATTTTATGTTCATTTTCATATTTACATGATATAAAACTCAGACTTATTTTACCCTTTCAATAATTCTAATGGTTAAAAAACTCTACCATAGCAAAAGAAAATGTCTTTAATGTTATTGATAATTTAAGTAAAAATACAAATAGTTAATTCTACTATAAGACATTGCTACATTTCTCTATTGATAGGATACAATCTAAGCATTAATCCATACCTAAATATAAAGAGGAAATCTATTTTTAGGGGGTTTCGTTTTGTCGTTTCTTTCTCTTTCCTTTTTTTTATTTTTTTACTTTCCACCTTTTTATTTTTTTACTTTCTTTCTTTCCTTTTATTTTTAAACTATCCTCCTTTCTTCCTCTTTTTTTTTTCTTTTTCTTGTCTGCCTATTTTTATCTTTTTTGTTCTATTATAAATTTTTTTCCTTTCTCTAAATTGACCCTCATAAATATGTACTTCTTTTTAATTCCTCGTTTAAATAATTTCTTCTTATAAATATCCCTCTCTTTTTTTTAAATCATGTTCTCCTGATAAAATGCTTCTATAGCGATTTTTTTTATTTTCATTCTTTTTTCTCTCTCTTTCAATTTTTTTTTCTTTCCCTTTTTTCGTTCTTATTCTTTTTTTTCTATTATATATATTTTTTATTTCTCTAATGAGACTTTAATAAATACATTTTTCATTCTTACTTATAGAATCTCACGCGGGTACGCGCGGTTTTTACTAGTATAACACTAAGTGCGTACATGCTCTATATCACATTGGATAAAAACCTAAATTTAAAAGAAATAATTACGAAAATATAATTTATATTTTATCAATATAAAAGTTTTCAACCAAACTAACCTGTTGCTATGAAATCTATAATACGTAAAAAAAAAGATGTAAGAAAGAGCAAATCCCTCGTAGATTGCTCATTGATCGCGACTGACCGGTCATGTCGTGACGCAGATTGCATTCCCTCGTAGGGGTGGTTGAGTGATAGATCTAAAAATATATTTCTTAAGAGGCGGTTAATATACAAGGATATTAATGCATTAAAGTAACAACTCTAATATACTACCTAGTACCTACTAGTAATTATCTTCAACACATTAATCATATGGATTAATTTCAAAAATTATCCTGAACTATGATCCTTTAACACTCTGTCCTTCAAATTTTAAAACGTAACATCTGATCTCCCGAACTTTGTTCCGTTAATAGTTTTGTCCCTTCCGTTACACTAAGTGACGGAATTCGCTACATGTCCATTATTTAGTGAGATTTGAAACTAGAATTACGCTTATACCCATCTTCGTTCATAATCACTAGTAACGGAAGGGGCATTATTGCATCAGTGTATCTAAAACTAGATCTCATGATTCCTCTCAAAAATCATATTCTAAGGGAGAGATCCGAAAAAATTTTAAAACGTTTCAAACCATTTTCACCTCCTCCAGTACCGCCATCGCCGACTCTGAGTTTGCTCTCAGATCGTGTAGAGCTGGCGTGAGCAAAGGTGAACGTGAATAGTCTGAGCACCAATGCCAAAGCCATAGCATTCATCTTCTTTGGCAGCACCACTCACAGAGGTCAACGTGCGTTCGACGAGACCCCAATATCCATATTTTTTTTTCTTCATCAACATTATTAATTTGAACTATTACTTATGGGTTTCGTGTATTATCTGTAAAGTTGAACTATGTGCAATGCAAAATATAAATACATTAATAGATCTAAAACTCAACCCAACCATTCGAAAAGAAAGTACCCAGCCAATCTCTTCAAAAGAAGAGATGAGTTTTTTTTTTCTCTCTCTCTTTTTTCTTTTTTTTTTTTCTTTAATTTTTCTCTTAAATGGTGGCTTCATTCAAGCAAACCTAGAAGAAATGTCCAAAGCCAAAACAAAACCCCAGAAGGGATGAAAAGTGAGTAAAAGAAAAATGAAATCCAGACGCAAGACGACTTCTATTTATCGATCTTGTTCATCTTTCTGCTAATTAGGAGAAAGGTATATTTGTTGATTCTTTAATATCCCGATAGCAGCGAATTTCGAAATATTTTTAGAGCAAATCTAAATTTTTTTTAATAACTTGATAAACTGATGCATTTTAATCCATTTTTTAATAACATGGGGTTTTTGCATGATATTTTACGATATAACCCTCATCATATGGGTTAAATAATGTACACGTGGTGAATTCTGTCACTCAGTGTAATGGAAGTGGCAAAATTGTTAACAGGACAAAGTTTGGGGGGAGCGGATGTTACATTTTGAAATTTGGGGGCAAAGTGTTACATGGGTCATAATTCAGGAGAAATTTTTGAAATTAATCATAATCATATTTAAGGCATCGTTTATTTCACCGATTATGTCTTTGAAAAACTCATATTCATTACCTGAGTACTTTAAAAAAAAGTTTCATACCTATTTGCTTTTTCCTTATAAGGAAAAGATACATGCATTGTGTAAATTGTATATACAAATACATAAAGTACACACATGAAACATAAACATAAATAAATGATAGTTCATTCCGTTTTGGCCACTGTTGATTGTTGAAACAAATCGGTTTTAGAAAGAAATAGACTTAAGTAAAAGTAAATGGCAACCTTTCAAAAATTGTTTTTTAAATTTATTTCTTCTGCTTATTTTCGTTAACTTTTTGTGGATTTAAAGAATGAACAAGCACTAAATGAAGAAATTGAAAGCATACAGGGAATGTTTTTTTTTTTTTTTTTGTTAAATTTAAAATTTGAGAAATAAAAGGTATAAGTTAAATAGAAACTTTAAGTTTAAAAAGTAAATTTAATTTCAGAATATAAAAATAGTAATTGAATAATGAAAGTGAGTGAAAAATTAACGATAAATTTAGAATAAAAATATTAGAAAAAGAGTATTATATTTTAGGAAAGTGAGGTGGGCATTTTTATATTCTAGTATAAAAGGATGTTTGATAAAGGGATTCGTTCCCTGATTCGAATCATGATTTGTGATTCGCTACAGTATTTTTTCTCACAAAAAATTCACGTAAATCGAAAATAGTATAATTTAAATCCTCCAACTAAATGTTCTCTAAGATTTTAGAAATGTGTATGTCATTTTTAAATTTTTAACCCATCATGGATGGATGGGTCGTTAGGTCGTGACCCCTCTGCCTTCGTGGGTCATGACTCATCCCCCCAACTTTGGGTCAAGAGTCGTCCAGAGTCTAGCTCCGTCCCTGACAAACGACAGTGCAATCCTGGGAATTCTCGTTGAATTCAATAGCAACTGTTGAATCTTTTTTCAAATTAATTATTATGAGATTGTTCTTTTATATTTTTAAGTTATAGTGATTTGAGTGATGATCTTGAGTTGAGTTTGAATTATAATTTAAATTTAAGTTGTAACTTGAGTTTGTATTTAGATGTGTACATTTGAGTTATGATTTAAATTGAGAATCTTTTTGAGTTTGTTTGGGTGGGTCAAAACTTAAATTTATATTTAAATAGTATTTTAATAAAAACTCAATGATGATGAAAAATTTTAATAGGGTATATAGGTGGGGTTTTATTCGTCTTTTCATTGTGAATGCATAGAAAAAAATCATTTCAATCAGAATTAAAACGAAAAAGTTATGGCATTTTTAATAATAGAAAAAATATTGTTCATTAACTTGAGTTCGAATTTATGAACTTAAGTTAAAAGGAAAACTTAAATTCGAGTTTAGCTCCAAACTCGAGTTCAAACTCGAGTTTAAACTCAAGTTCAAACTCGAGTTTAAACTCGAGTTCAAACTCAAATTTTACAACAAATATAAATTTGAATAAAATTATAACTTGAATTCAAATTTTTTCTGAGTTTCGTTATAAAAGAACAACCCTTATAACTTTAGTAGATCAATTATTGTCTTTTGGTAAATATATTTGGACCTGTTTCTTTTCTCCTGCAAATTATCTTTGTTTTCTGCTTCCTTATGCACAAATTGCTGTAACGGCTTATTGTACCGGCATGAACAAGAGAGTGTCCTGTTTATTTGCATATTGAGTGCAAAAACAATAGAAGGTTCTCATACTCCATTATGACAAAAATATAAAATTCTCCTGAACATCCATCAAAATCCGGGCATAATGCCCATAAATCCCATTCGTCATGTTTTTGACAAGCTTCATTTTATTATTCCAATACCATGAAAAACGAACCACACGATCGTGTTTGTTGGTTTTGCCTAAAAGGGTTAAAATCTACTCCAATGTGGACCCTGAGAATTCCCAATTCTAATAAATTAGAACCCTTCCCATATTCTGTATTTTTCTTCCATTAATGGAAAAAATTGGACTTGATCAAAAAAAGCCTTGGCCGATGAAATAATTCTCCAATCTCCCTTATTTTTCCAAATTCGATCAAGCTTATTTCCACATTTGGCCGGAATTGACTATATTATCTCTTAATACAAATTAGTAGCGTCAAAGATAAATTGTATGACAAAAATAAATAAGAGAGACAAGAGAAGAATAGAAGAACACTGATATTATTCATTCGCACATTTTGTTATTGTTGCAAGGGTCATATATAGGCGGTTATGAATGTTATTTAATACCCATCGTTGACATGAATTAAGAATTCATGAAAGATATTAAGAAGGTGAATATATGCACCAATAATTCAATTCAAGCCAAGTGCGTCAAGGTTTCTTCCAATATGGCACCGAAACGACTCAATCGATCCTTATTTAGTGCCAAACCAACTTCGACACCACTCTTCTCGTCCCTACTCTCAGCAAGAGAAATCGTAGTTGCATCACTAAAATGGACCGTTTCGCTCTTTTTAGGCCGCCCCCACCCGAAATCCGCCTCATAAACACCAAGTTTCGGCGAGCCTGTGACCGTGACATGTTGCCACCCTAATTCCTTAATTTTTTTGAACTTCATCATCCAATTCTCGAACTTTTTCAAAGATTCCTCGTTCAATTCTCCAACTTCCTTCCCAATGGCCTTAGCCGCCGCGACGATACCATTTTCTCTCAATAACTCCTTCCTCTTTACCGGTGCAAAACATATCTTCATGCAATTTCCAAAATAGGTCGTTGGTAATGGAAACTCGAGGCGACTTCGACATTCCGCTACAAAGGCGAAGTAGTAAGGCTCGTCATCTTTATCGGTGTTGAGCGCGGAATTCCTCTCTTCCGATTTCGCCAAGCAAACCCATATCAACGCGCAAGTGACGATAAACGACGACATGTGAAACGACGAGGAGCTTTCGTCGTTGGCCAATTGATTTGTGACCCAAGACTTTAGCCTCTCAATCTGGACGCGATGCAGAATAAACGGGGCACGAACGTTATCAATAGTACCACAGTCTAGGACTGGTCTTTCTTCATCACCGTCATCATTTCGTGCCGATGCCAAAGTAGTACTCCACCAGGCGTTCAACAACTCAAGCTCAAGCCCATATTGGTCCTTGATCGCGGTCCTATCATGAGACGGTGGTCGCAGCTCTCGATCAAGCCGAGTAATTAAATCGCCTCCGGTATTGCAAATCGACGCCCATGATTTCATGAAGTGGTGAAACGCTTTCCCGTCGGACACCACATGGTTTCTCCGGATACCGATGCAGATGCCGGAGTTGGGGAAGACGGTGGCTTGCAAGGCCAGGAGAGGTTCCACGCGCGTGCCGTCCACCACAAGTGCGGGTGCAAACTTGGGGACAAACGGGTCAAATGCTCGGACGGGTAGCGGGTGATTGGCCGAGAGAAAGTGGAAGTCGGCGGTGGACTCGGCGACGGTGAGGGAAACGGAGTCGCCGTCGGTGAAGAGAATGTGAGGCTTCGCGGGCGGCGGAGGGAGGCGGAGGTTTCCCGCCAACGGGAAGAAGTGTTGGAGAGTGAGGGAGAGAGAATTTTTGAGAGATGGAAGTAGGGTTTCTAAGAAGTGGTTGGTCGGGTGAGGAAAGTCGTAGAAGTAGGGACGTTGCATGTGGCTGAAATTGAGAAGCCATGGCAGGTCAAAGAAAGTGAGAGGAAGAGAGGTTGTTGGGACTGAGCCTGGCGGTGGCGATACCTTGGTTTGCTCGATCACTATCACCTCCACATTCGGCAGAGCCATGGATCGATATTGTGAGGATTAGAGTATTGGGGAGATAAATGCAAATTAAGAGAAAGTATTTCCTTGCATGATAATTTGATTTGGTTTGGCTTATTATATAGGGCTTTTTACACATATAGCAAGATTTAAATAGTAAAGGTAATATAGTAAATTTTTTTAAAATATTAAAAAATAGCAAAACTGATATCATTTTTAATAATGACTACGTAATTATATAGTACAAAGTGTGATATTATGATAATGATTACTGTATTATTTTTTTATTTGTATAATATTTAAAAAGTTTTGCTAAATTTTAATTTTAAGTATGCGTAATTATATAAGGGTCCAAAAATTATATGATTGTGAAATTGCTATGTGGCTTTGAATAAATAAAAGACCACGCATGCACTGCATGTGGCAAATGAAGGTATGGTTTCAATAAATAAATGGCCACGTTTGTGGCCGCAAACAACAACAATAATAATAACAATAATAACAATAATAACAATAATTATAATAATAACAATAACAATAATTATAATAATAACAATAACAATAATAAGAAGAAGAAGAAGAAGAAGAAGAAGAAGAAGAAGAAGAAGAAGAAGAAGAAGAAGAAGAAGAAGAAGAAGAAGAAGAAGAAGAAGAAGAAGAAGAAGAAGAAGAAGAAGAAGAAGAAGAAGAAGAAGAAGAAGAAGAAGAAGAAGAAGAAGAAGAAGAAGAAGAAGAAGAAGAAGAAGAAGAAGAAGAAGAAGAAGAAGAATAATAATAATAATAATATTATTATTATTATTATTATTATTATTATTATTATTATTATTGTTACTGTTGTTACTGTTACTGTTGCTGCTGGTTAATAGAATCTTTTGGGTAATCAATACTTTATGTGATTATGTACTCCAAAACTTTGAATTTATTCGTGACCTTTAATTTAAATTTTTTAAGTAAGTTCTTGAAAACAAATTTAGAAAAATACTGGTCCATAGGGATGCCACCTATTAAAATAAGTTTAAAAATAAATGGCACCTTTTGTGTAATCAAGACTTTATGTGATGATGTGCTCCAAAACTTTGAATTTATTCGTGACCTTTAATTTAACTTTTTTAAGTAAGTTCTTTAAAACCAATTTAGAAAAATACTGGTCCATAGGGATGCCACTTATTAAAATAAGTTTAAAAAAAATGGCACCTTTTTTTGTGTAACCTAGACTTTATGTGATTATGTGCTCCAAAACTTTGACTTTATTCATGACCTTTAATTTAACTTTTTTAAGTAAGTTCTTTACAACCAATTTAGAAAAATACTGGTCCTTAGGGATGCCACCTATTAAAATAAGTTAAAAAATATGGGACCTTCAGATTCGCTAACCAATAATATTGTAAGAAAAATATTGAGGAATTTACATATGTGGAGGGACTAAAATGCATGCTAATATATAATTAGGACAACATTGATTGTAATTAGCATCATGAACAAAGTGGATCGGTTCTTCATAGAGAATGCCAAAAATTGTTTGTTATCAAAATTCGTTGGTTCATCAAAATAACGAAAATTGGAAAAAGAGGGAACAAACACTTAAAAATTATTCAATAAGTAAATAAATAAACAGGAAACTGCCTATATATTCAGCCTGAATATAATTAAACGTAATAAAAATTAGAAATTTTCCAAAAGGAAAATTTTGATAGGAAATAGAAATTGAAACTATCAGATCAGGAAATGCAAACAAAATTATAATTTAAAATTCTACGGTCATCTTATTACAAAAATAAAAATTAATTATTAAAAACTTTGAAACCTAAACGATGGAATTTGACCCAAAAAAGTTGTCATACTTCATGGCAAAACGACGAGTGTTATTTGTTGGCCTGTTTTCATAAAAAAAAGGATTGTATGTTTTTCATCTAAATCTGACAACCTCATCAGACCTTATAAAAATCAGAAAAAAATTACCTTATTTAACCTTGAAATAATCCCAACAAGCGATAAAAACTGGATCTTGCTACAGCACATCAATTGGTATTTATCAAAGAGAAATTATAAATCAACGTTAAAATTGATTAAAGACTGATGATGATAATGTGCTATAAAATGAATACAAAGTAGCACAATATATATAGAGTATACTCGATTTATTCATTATCACATTATTGTTGTTGTTGTACAAATACAAGTATAGAAAGGTGTGTCTGTCTATATATATATATATATATATATAACTCGCGCCATGAATCATAAAGTGGAAAAAAGCCAAAATCCATGAATTGCAATAATATAATGCCATGTATAGGATGTTAATTGAAAAGTTAAGAAGGTTTCGAATACCAATAAAAAAATAGCATTTAAGTGAATACATAATGAAATTCATGAAGGATGTTAAGTCACAGTTCATTTTATTAGTTCAAATCACAATTAAAATTTTTGCTACAATGTTTTTTTATAAAATTTAAATTCAATTTTTTCTATTATAGTATTTTTTCACACATAAATTTATTTTTTAACTCAAATTTTCAATTCAAACGAAAGAAGCAAAAAAGGCCTAAAGAAAGAACATCCATACATATCAAACATTTCATTTACACAAGTATTCGGATGGCGAGAAAAGGGAAAAAACGACATCAAAATTGAAAAACTACATGGAAAAGGTGAACTATAACAACAACAACAAAAAATTAGGACGACAAAAGAAAACGAGGACAACGCGGAACGGATCAACGGACAATAAGAAAGCACTCTCTTAGACAAAATATAACTCTTATAAGGTGTTTTGTACGAGAATTCGTGACAAAATTCGAATCATGATTCGTGACTAATTACAGTATTTTTTTTTATAAAATATACGTAAATTGAGAATAATTTTGAATAGTTTTAAATCACGATTCTGAATCGTGAACTAAACGTCTATATTTTTCACGGCAACCACTCTCACACTTAACTTTTGTTTATTATTCTCTAGAAGCTTTTGCTTCTTTCTTCACCGATGCATAACTGTTAACTTCGCTGTCCACAGTTGACGCAGCTCGTACGTTGGGGCTTTCTTGTATAACTTTTTTTTTTTTTTTTTTGATAATTTTTTCTTGTATAACTTTGTCTGGTGTCTGTAATGTGTCTGAGCCGCCTAATTTGGATAGCTCCTACGTTATTGGCTTGCTTTGTTTCTTATGTATTGTTCGGCCTTTAGGCCTTCCTCTTTGTCGGCGTCTTGCCTTTTCCTTTGAATGAAACTGTTGTTATGTATGTGGAGCCTAATCAAACAAGGACTGAAAAAGAAAAAAAAAAAAAACAGAGCACCGCGCCTTTGGATAGTGTGATTGTGTTGTTATTTTTCTTGTTCGCTATTATCGTTCTTGGTATTCAAATTAGGTCGTGCCTAATTTCCTTACATAAACTCAATTTTTGCAACAAAAAAAATAATAATAATAAAAAAAAGGGAACTTGGAAAAGGAACATAATTTAATCGACAATAACTATAAGGACACGTATTAAAAAGCTACAAAAAATAAAATAAAATTACAAAAAGAGAACAAGAAAAAGAAAACTACATGAATCAAACTCAAGTCAAACAAACTCCATGAATATTTCTTCTGAGATGGCACCGAAACTACTCATTTCATCCTGCTTAGTGCCAAACCAATTTCAACCCCCACCTCTCTCCTCCCGGCTCTGAACAAGAGAAAACGTTGCTGAATCACTAAAATGGACCGAAATCCACCTCATAAAGACCGATAGCTCCTTCCTTTTTACTTGCGCAAAACGCACCAGAAAAATGTAACAAGAGTGGTAGGGAAACAATTCTCGTGTTAGAAAAGTGCATTATATATATGTTAGGCATGGACTTTGTTCGAGCATGTTCTTAATTATCCACCTTTTTTCCCTTAGCCGTTCAATTTTTTAGCCTATGTGTAAGATCTTATTCGGTTAATGACAAAATGCCCACCAAGTTAGTGGGATTAGACAATGATCTTAGCATTAGAGTCGTGAAATGTTATTTTTACGATGGAAATTCGCCCTTGTTGCTTTTACGTCTTCATTCAATGGGTTTGGTTAGCAACCGACATTAGTTGTAAAGACTGACATGTCGTTTTCATATGTGCGACACCAAAAGTAAGGCAGCAACAATTGTGAGCGAACGATTTACGATAGGCACCAAACGATTATCGCTGCGGAACTGCAATTTACCAGCGACATGTCGTTTACACGTTTGATCATGGCGTTTTATTGCATGTAATGACATGTTGTCTTCTGTCCACCAAACTACATATTGCTGTCTTCTTGAAACAACATGAAATGACATGCTGTTTTCTTGTCGTTTACACGTTGCTGTTTTCTATAGATCGGAAGGTGATTTGAATCATTTTAGAAAATCAGTGGGCACTTTGAGATAAGGTGGCATTTATGAAAATCAAGGGACATATCCTCTCACTCTCGTGAATATAAAACGAAAAATTCAGTCTTTCCCAATCTTTTGTCCAGTTATTGTGCCCTTATATATAGACACACATATTAACATATATAACATGATCATAAGTTCATCACTTTGACAATGGAAGTTCATCATTCTTTAATATGGCAATGACATGCCCCTAGAACTATTATATTGAATATCAAATTTCTTAATAGATATACGCCCGCCAGGATCGCTTGGAGAACAAGTACAAAACCTCGTGAAGACATAGGAAATGAAGATTTTCCACAAGGCGGATGACACTACTTGCACATTTAATTAATTCCCTTCACCACCCTCGCCACCACTTGCTCCAGGGGCCATCAGCTTCTTCCCCAGATCCTCCCGCGGCTCCGCTGCAGCCTACACGGCTTCTTCTTACACGACAAGGATTAGCACCCAGGCCGCCATGCCCAACGTAGGGGTGACCAGGGCACGTGGCGTGGAACCAAGGCGGTGTTGGTGAGTCATAATTGAGCAGAGCTCTTGTAGCAGAGGAAACACCTATGCCTACTAAGAGAAAGAGAACACAAGTTACAAGCTTATAACTTGCCATGGGATTATTTTGTTTACT